ATATATATATATATATATATATATATATATATATTAGTATAAATAAATATGTTATATTTGTATCCATAAATATTTCTTATTTTTTATATATTTTTTCTCAGTGTTATTTATATTTTAGGAATTATAATGTGCTATTTAAAAATTCGTTATATTTCTAATGAAATTTACTATGTTCCTTAGAACAAGGTAGATTTTATTGACAATGTATTCTGGCACACTACTAGAACATAGTAAAACTGAAAAGAATTTATAATATTCAAGGACAACAGAAAAAACTAATATTCTGTCTGTGTATAATTTTACCGCGTCTCATTAATTTACGCGTAAAGCATAATTTCGATTGCTTGAATTTTAATCAAGTTTTGGAATAATCCATAGAAACTACCGTGGCAGTTAAGTTACGACTTTTGGCGTTAACTATGAAAGTCACATGCCTTTTTGCATTCTCTGACTGAAAATTCGACTATGCTTAAAAACGTAAGTCTACTTGGGGTTTTTCATTGATTTGAAAGGGCCGTCTCTATCGTTGGAGCTACATCTTCACGTACGTCACACGAATGTTTCGCTCACGTAAATCATCGCTTATCGTGGCGAACCTCAATGTTTTAAATTAACTTCTCAACGGGTCGAAGCTAAAATGATCGCGTTGCCGCTCCCGCTTTTCGAGGGGCGACCCGGACGTTGGAGAATGAGAAAAAATTGCGAAAGATACGGCGCGAGGTGACGAAGGGCGCGAAAGGGATCGAGACCCGATTTTAATCCCGGTCGGATTAACGCCGCCAACGACGACTTTCGGCGCGGGCATTTTTCAATTTTAAACGACGGGTTAGGGCACGAGGTGAGTTGCAGTACGAAGCACGGAGGATTGTAGGGTGGGTGAGCGGGCGGGAGGTGCAATTTGCAGTAAAGCAAACGGCGGCCGGCGATCGCGCGGCTTTATCGGCCACCGGGGCCTCTAAAAGCGCACTCGCCGGCCCCGCAAATTGCTCGTCGCGAGATTTTATCGAGCCGTTTAGCCCCTAACTCGACATCGACGTGTCGTGTCGTATAATGCATTCCGGTCGAAATACAATTCGCATTATAATATCGCCATTACAACAGCGTGTTCTATCGATTTTCGATAAGGCGACGCGTTTTTTTCGCGTTATCGCAATAAAACACTCTCCAGACTTATTTATTCATACAGGCTAAGTTTCTTGCGAATGCGCATTTATATTGGAAGATCATTTGTAACTTGTAATTATTAAATTACGTGCTTTGAGGTTGGTTTCGACAGTATACAACAATATAATCTTATTCTTAACGGATATCCTCATACATTTAATCTTATTCTTACGGAGATCCTGTGAGAAAAAAAATATCTAAAAATTAGTAAATATTTACTGGGTGGACATTCTGACAGCATATCTACTTACATAAATTTAAATTCTTTTATTTAAATAGAATAAATAATTGCTTCTTCAGAGGAGAAATAAAGATTTTCTTGAGATTTTAAAAATATGTACATTTTCTTATTTGAGAAATATTTTATATCAGTATGAGTAAATACATATACTGTTAGTATCTACCAAATGAATATTTACTATTTCTTAGATATTTTTTTCTCAGTGTATACATGGTTTCAGAAGGATTCATCTAAAATCCGAAGGATTTCATCTATTTTCCGAAGGAAAATATTCTAGCAAAAAGAAACTTAAAAAAGATGCAAGATGTTATATATGTTAATTTCCTATAATCTCATATTTTAAGCGAAAATTCTTACTGAAAAGTATTCCTTTTCTATTGAAATAAACTATTAATCACAAATCTACTTGATATTATCTCAATTTTCTTTTTCTTTTGAGTCAATAGGAATGAATATGTTTGCTTGAAATAGAATGCTCTTTTTTAGAAGCAACTTCTATTAAAAACAAAATTCGTACTGTAGATAAAAGACGAAACTTACCCAACTTTAAGAAATATTAAAATATTTTCCTTTTGGTTTTAGAAGAATTCTCTTTTGAGGCCATATGTACGTATAAAAGGATATCTTTAGAAACATCACGTGGAGAGATCTTTTATTTTTTTGCAACAGCTGCCAAATAAGCAACTCGGAGCGGTTCAATAAGTAAACTTATCATAACTCGATCATCAAACTCATTGTTTATTCCACAAAAGTAATTTAATATTTTCGTATTTTATTATCCACCCTTTCTTCGTCTATATACAAATTAAATGGTAAGATTTATTCCGGGTTGCATCTGAATGATAGAATTAATGTAACTCTGGCGCTCTTCTGATCTGTAATTTAAATCCAGGAGTTCTATAACGTCTCTGATTAAATCTCTCCAAAGTAAAGCTACCTAAAGTCAACTGATCTTTCATGTTATGAAAATTCAAATACGATGTATTTCTGTATGCACTGATATCTAGAAATACGAAGTATTTTTATCTACTTGATTATTTCAAATTTTTTAAATTTAGTGATACTGAAATTTAGCAATAGAAAATAGTTTTAACTTTAAGGCTCCTGACTAGTTGTCGCGGTTATTTTGATTTATAACGTCGGAAGCAAGAAAATACACGTTCAAAATTCTTACAAAATACGTCGAAATAAAAGGATGTATCTACAATGTGACTTTGCAATTGATTGAACGAATTTGTAAAATCCATAAACTTTTCCCAGTTCTAACAATCAATAAATAATCGTAAAATTAATGTGACAAAACAAAAAGAAAAGAGATTAAAACGGAAGATTACACGTTAATTTTATGATTATTTATTAATTATTAGAACAAAAGGCAAGAGTTCGGATCTGCATGATTGCAAGTATCATTTTATGGATGCATCTATTTATTTCGAAGTATTTTGCAGGAATTTTGAGCGAGCATCTTCTCGCTTCTGACGTCATCAATCAAGAGTTCGCGAGTATCCAGAAGCTTTGAAAGTTCCCCAATGTCGTCCCCTAATCGACGTTTGTGGCTTACACAATTTTACTCCTCGATGCTGCTTGATTAACATCTGCAAGTTCTACAAGCCACAATTAGCGAGGAGTTATTCTCTGTATTATTCCACTCCTACGAACGGTTTCAATCTGATAAGGGATTCGTAACACTCGTGAATCGTAAGCGCTCGCGTCGGCATAAGTTCCCAAAGAAGAACTATCTCGTTCGAAGCTGAAACTTTCGACAAAGTCAAACGGCACTACGGGGAGAGTCAGCGATACAACTTTTGATGGGGCACGGAACTCTTGGGGAAGCTACGCCGCGGAATTTTGCCGGGACGGACACGTAGAATTACCGTCGCGGCAAAAGACACACGACGACTCTCAAAGGGACGAGGCACGCCTTTGTCGATACCTTCGACAGTTTTGTGATACCTTCGATACCTTTGTCGCTTGTGAATAATCCTTTTTTTTTTAGAATCCTTTATTTTAATTTTTTAATTATGATCCTTTAATATTCCTTTAGAATCTTTTATTTCGATGTTGCACAAATAGCGCACCGCTTGTGGAACTTGTGATCTCCTCAGTTTAGTTGATTTTTTCTTGGTACTCTTTATAATTAACAATTTATTGAAAGAGTATATATTGCGTGTCCTCGAAAGTTTTCTGTACATGTACACACGGAAAATTTCTAGACGATTGTATGATATTTTAACTTTAAAAGCAGGGTTATTCGGATTTTTTTTTTTTAATAACTTTGCATTTCTTCCCACTTCAAAATTTCTAAGACTTCATATATATTTAAAAAAAAAAAATAGTATAGCAAGAGCATTTGAAGCTTACAGTAGCGGCAATATAATTTCAATTATTTTTTTTCTCAAGTTATTTTAATAAAATTTAATTAGTCTTATTCGGCTATTTGGGTCAGTATCTTTCTTCTGTGAAATAATGTAATAAATATAGGTACAGATCGATAAGAATAATCAGAGATTTATAGTTTATTACTTGTTAAATGATGACAGACTATGAATGTCAGTCTAAATATTTCGACTCGGATATTTCTGTATTTTCGGTGAGTTAATCAAACGGTCGGTTAATAATGGTTAGTAACGGAAGTTTCCTGTATAATAAATGATTTGGCATACCTTGAAATTATATGATGTACCATCGCTCGGCTTCCTGTGTCCTCCGTCTTAGCTCTTCGACTCAATATCTTGGTTGCTTCGTCATGGTATTTGCACTGACACTGACACTCGCGTAGACACGATTAAATCGAAGATATACGTGCGAAATAGCGCGATGCCGATAAGAGATTA